CACACCATCCATCCCCTGTTAAAGGCTGCCCGCTGGCAGCCTGGCTCCAGCAGCACCTCTCCAACTGGCAGCAGAGGGTAAAATTAGACTGAGCTGCATTTTTTTCCCCTCCGCCGCTCAGCAAACTTTTACAGCTCTTCTGCCGGGTCCCGTCCCGTCTCGAGGGAAGCAGCCGCCCCAGCGGGGGGAAGAGCAGAGGAGCCCGTCTGGCCGCCAGTCTCCCTCACGCTCAAAAAAAAAGAAAATTGTGCTGGGTTTTTTTGTTTGGTTGGTTGGTGGGGTTTTTTGTTTTTTTTTGTTTTTTTTTTTTTTTTCAATATATATATATATATATGGAGGTTTTGTGGCTTTGACGCAGTTTCCTGAAAATCCTGCCTCATCCTGCCAGGGGCTGAGCAAATGCACATCCCAGCCCTCGGCGGTGGGGGAGAGAAGGAGGAGAAGCCAGGGAGGGAGAGAAGAAAGCCTTTGCCAAACTGGCCTGACCAGAATGTGACACAAGAGCAGGAAATGAGTCACGCCGGCAGGGCAGCTGCTCCCAGGCATTTGCATAGAAAGAAACCCCACTAAGCAGGGAACCACATCGGTCCTCATCCCAGCTCCTCAGGCTCCAGCCCCACAGCCCCCAGACCCACTGTTGTGCTCCCCAGCACCCATCGGCACCCCGAGGCCAGCCAAGGCAGCGCACCCTGGCGCACCGCCTCTGTCCCGTGGCTGGCTGTGCACCCCTGGATTTGGCTATTCAACCTCAAATTGGGCTGTTCCACCCTGGATTTGCCCTGGGTCAAAACTGAGCTCCCCTCCACCGCGCCCCGGCCCATGCAGTCCCCTTTGGCCAGTCCTCAGTATCTGCTTTGCCCCATGCTTCAGGCTTGGGGAGGAAGGGAGAAAGCCCAGCAGTTTTGCCCCAAGAGGAGACCCAGTTGTGCATCCTTTGTACAGGGGCAAAGCTCTCCTGAGGGGCCAACAAGGGCATCACCACACCTGCATCCAGCACACGGTCCCAGCCCTGTTCCCAACTGCCAGTGTCTGGTGCGGGTGTCACTGGGGTGCTTGGGGCAGGGAACCTGCTTTGCGTGCTGTGGGGACCGGGCCGCACACCCGGCTCCTGGTCCCTTTTTATTAATCGTTTTCCTCTGCAGATGCACCACACACGTACACGTCCGTCTTCCCCCCGCACGTACCCAGATGCGAGGATGCCGGAGCAGGCAGGTGACAGTTTGGGATGGACAAGTGTGACACTGCAGCGGGGAAGTGCGTGGGATGGCCAGGCACAAGCGGTGCCTGTCGGCAGCGTGCCCTGGGCTGGGGCAGGGGGTGACCAGCCCTGGGGACCTCTGTGTCGTGCCTCCTCCATGGGGCTGTTTCCTTCTTCCTCCACCCCAGCCAGGAACAGGGGATGGCTACACACGGACAGATTTAGTGCTGTAAACCAGGCTACTTCCACCCTGCAAGTTTCTTAAATCCTTAAACCCAGTCTTAAAACTTCAGTGAAAGCCTTCAAAACATTAATCACACGGAGCAGGGTGGAGGGAGCTTTCACCATTGCACTGCACCACCTCACTGGGCTTACCTGGAAAGGGAACAGAAGGGCAGCAATGGCTTCTCTCTGGCTGGTTAATTAGGTTAGAAAGGACCCAAGAAGCACATCACTTTGTATTACTTTCAGAGGGCTCAAGGCTTCTGGGGAAGGCGTGGGGCTGAGTGCCGGAGCCCTCAGGAGCATCCCGGGACAGGGTGGTGGCAGGCAGAAAAGCTGTCATTTTAACAGCCAACCACTCTGTGAATCTGTGCGAACACCCTCCCTCTCCCATCAGCTCAGCAGGGTCCGCAGCCCTAAATAGCAAACAGAGTTTCTGTATGTCTGCGGGCTGGTTAAACATCACTCGAGTCTGCCTGGGAAAGCAGAGGCAGATCCTCAACACCAGGCACGGCCCCTGCCCGCAGTGACAAAGGCACCTGGGCTCTGTGGAGCAGCCAGCACATCCCTGCTCCCTGGGGACGAGGTCCCTCTGTACCAGGCAGTGCCACTTCAATGCCAGACTCTGGTGACAAATCCCCGAGCATCCTGGCTTCGCAGGGCAAGGGGTGATGCTGCGCCAGCCCTTCATGGATGGGTACCCACAGCCCAGTTAGTGCTAAGTGGGGCCTCGGCAGAGATGCTGATACTTTACTGGGGAGGCTGGTGGTGGAGGTGGTCTCTCCAGGGCAGGGTGAAGGGCTGCTGAAGTGAGACTGCTGGTGAAGGGGAACGAGGGGCTGGCTGTGACTGGGAAAACTGAGGCTTGGAGGAGTTGAGGGATGCACATCAGGACTCAGCTAAGAATCACCTCTGTGGAGCAGGCTGGGGTACCTGCACAGGGCAGGATCCTGGTGGAGGGGGATCCAAAGCGTGGGCAGGCTCTCTGCAGCTCGCTCTGGCTGGACTCCATCAACCACCCAGCCGTGGCAGGAGGGTGTTTGGGAGTTGTGTGGGGAGGGAGGTCCCTGCTTACAGTCCCCCTGGCAGGCTGCGGGAGGATTGCGATGCCCAGCCTGGCTTTGGGGGTCCCCTTGCCAAGGGGGTTTCTCCAGGCTAGGCAGGGAGACAGCATTGTTTGATGCAGGTGTGAGGACAGGAGGGCCAGTTCTGGTCCCAGGGCAGCGGGATTCCCAGCTGAGAGCAGGTTGCATGTTTCAGCTTGGCTTAGCCCCATCCCATCCACCTTCCACTCTTAAATCCTGCTAAATACCAGCTGGCTTCCCCAGCTCACCCACAGCAGAGGGCACAGGGGGGGCCCCGAGCAGCCCCGGCAGGAGAACCTGCCCTGCTTGGGGTGGGGACAGTGTCTGTCACTGGGGACTGCCCAGTACTGCCTGTGTTTATAAAGAAGTGAGAGTCACGAATAGTTTTGCGCTGACTTTTCGAGGAGAGGTTTCCCTCCGCATGGGCTCGGCTGGTCGACAGCAGCTCTGACGCAGCCCGTGCCGCGCTGCCCAGCTCCCACCCGTCCTGGCTGCCAAACGGCTTCCAAAACCCCAGGGATGTACAGCCTGCGGGCTTCGAGGCCTGGCAGAGGCATTGCATGGCAAACCGCTCCCTTTGCGGGAATTGGTGCTCAAGCCCCGGGAGCTGTGGGCTGGGTGTGCAGGGTTGGAGGGTGCAGCTGGAGGGTGATACTGGGTGAGCCCCAGTCCCAGGGTGGCCTAGCTATGGGCTTTCCCATGGAGACAGGGATCCCAGAACAACTGAACAGAGATGAACCCAGAAATAGGTTTTATTGTGGCAAAGAGGCTGTGGGAGCCTCACCCAGAAATGAGAGGTGAGCAAGGCATCCTGAGCCAGCCGGGCACTGCACACCAGCTGCAGCCCCATCAGCATTGTGGCGTGTGTTGGGGTATGACGCTGTTATTATTTGTTATTATTTGCCCTGGGGCAGCACTGTGGGACTGGGGCATGCTGAGCATAATGCAGGCAGCAGGTAGCAGTGTCCCCTGATGTCCTGTCGAAGCATGAAGTGAGAAGGGAAAGGTGGAGGCAGGGAAATGGGGTGGGGGGGATACCAAATCCAAAATCAGCCCAAAGATAGCTGGTATCCATCACTGTCCCCTTTTATTAGGGTGTCTCTTGGCAAGTCCTGTCTGTCCACAGGGGCTTCCCGTAAAGGAAAGTGTGGAAAGACCTGGATCACCCCCACCCTGGGTGTGCTGTAGGATGCTCATCCCTCTAGCAGGCAGCTGCCTGCCCTGGGTGGCCCAGGGCACTGGGGCAATAGGGTGCTATTGGAGAAGCTACTGGGTGATGTCTCTGGACAGTTTGGTCCTTGGCCTTGAGGCTGTGAATGGGGAATTCCTGCTAAATCCCTCCTGGAGGCAAACTGCCATTAGGGGCAGGGTGGGGGACAGATCCCAAAGCTCATGTCACTCCATCGAAAATCTGACTGTGCACCCTGAGCATTTTTTTTTTCTAAATACTTCGTTTTGAGGCCATTTGTGACCCCCTCACCAGTGGGAAATGGATTTACACCATCAACGTGCTTTATTCCCAGTGGCCCAGCACATTTGGCGGGGGTTAGATATAGAGGGTCCCGCAAAACAGCTGCGGAAACATTTGGTGGGAGAGCTGTTAACAGAGACACCTCTGTGCCCAGGGCTCTGGCAGGAGGTGCTGGGGCTGCCAGTTTTGGAAAGACCCCGCGGGGGCCAAACGGCCGTTGCTTTGCACAGGGAGGAAACAAACACACCTGAAGCGGCCCCGTGTGAAGGAACAGGGGGGAGCCAAGAGGGCAGGGGGGCTCCAGCGGGCACTTTTGGTACCCAGGGCCAGCTGTGAGCTGGTTCCGGGGCAACTGGCCCCCTTTTGGGAACCAGCACCCTGAGCAACCCCGGCTCCTGGCCGCGTAGGGATGCTGGTGGCCAGCGGGGCCACCTCAGCTGGGGGCGAGCCCAGGCAACCGCGCAGCGCCGAGCACCGCGGCGGGCCCCACCGCCGGCCGTGCCCCCTTTAAGGCCGTGTGGGCGGGGCGGGGGGGCGGCTCCCTCGTGACGCGCAGGGGGGCGGGCCCGGGGGCGGGGCGGGTCCCGCCGCAGCGCAGCGCAGCTCCGAGGCGGCGGCGGCGGCGGCAGCGCCCGGCGGGACCCACCGGCTCCGGCTCCGGCGCCTCCGCTCCCCCCCGCTCCCCCCCCCCCCCCCCCCCACCCACGACCGGCTCCCGAGTGGGGCGGCCCCTCGGCGCGCCGGGGCGGGGCGCGCCCGCCCCTCTCCCTTCTCCTCCCTCTCCCCCACCCCCCTCCCCCCCGGTCGATATATCCCCCGCGGCCGCCGCCCCCATGGCCGCCCCGCCCGCCCCCCGCCGCCGCCCCGGCCCCCCGCGCCGGGGCTGAGCCCGGCCGCCTCCGAGGCGCCGCCCCCCCCCCCCACTCCCCGAGAGATCTGCTGCGGGGATCCGCACCCCCCCCCCCGCCTCCTTCCCCTTCTCCGGGCCCCCCCCCCCCCCCCCAGCTCCTCATCGCCCCCCCCCGCCTCCCGGCCGCGGCCGCCTCCCCGGGGGCGGCGGGAGGAAGGCCGGGGCGTGGGGCTCCGGCGGTCGGCGCCCAGGGCGAGCCCAAGATGGCTGGAGGCGGCGGCGGCCGGGGCAGGCGCGGGGGGCTCTGCTGAGCGGCCCCACCGGGACGGGACGGCTTGGCTCGCCGCAGCCCCTCCGCAGAGCCCCGCCGCGCGGGCGGGGGAGGCGGCGGGAGCGGTTTTGTTCCGGTGACTTTTATTTCAAAATTTTTTGTTTAATATATTTTTTTTTTTTTAAAAAAAAAAACATTTTTTTTTTTTTTTTTAATTCTGTTTTATTTTTCATGCGCCTCCGGTCTCCGTTCTCCAGCAGGGCAGCTCAAAATGGCTGAGAGCTGACTCGGCTCTCCCGGAACCGCACGCTTCGGCCGGCTCCTCCCGGCTGCCGCCGCCGCCTCGCCCCTTCCTGGCGGGGCCGGACCGGGGACGCCGCGCCGGGGGAAGGCGGCTCCGACACCCGTCCCTCCCCGGGACCCCCGGCTCCATCGCATTGTTGCCGTCGGGGGCTGCGTCCCCCCGGCCAGCCATGAGACCGGGCTAGGTCGGACCCCCCACGCCCCGGACGCCTTTTTTCCCCCCTCAGCCCCGGTGGGAAGTCAGAGCAGGTTGATTTGGGGGGCGCGGGGCTTAGGTGCCCCCCCCAGCAAAGCCCATCCTCTCTCCCATCCCTCTCCGGGAGCCTTGGACGAGGCTGGGAGGGCTGCGCTGGGCTGGGGTTTGCTCTGAATGACCGAGCTCTCCCATTCAAGACCTCGCAATCTCGAAGCAGGCGAGAGGGTTTTTTTTTTTTTCTTCTCCTTTTTTTTTTTTTTTTTTTTCCTGTCTTGTCTTTTTTTTTTTTTTTTTTCCTCTTCCGTTTTTTTTCTCTGCTGCTCCACCGGGTTAGAAGCAAATCTCGGGGGCCGCGGAGAGAATTCGTTTTTTCGCCATCGTCATCGTCGCTATTATTATTATTTTTTTTAAGCTTCCTCCTTTTCCCATTTTGGATCTTAACCCTTTGATCTGTTTCCTTTAAAAGACTCTGATTCCCAACTCCCATCAGGGGGAGAGGGAGGAGAAATACAGGGGAGAAAAAAAAAAAAAAAAAAAAAAACAACCAACAAACGAGCGAGTCGGTGCTCTCAGCTGTTAGCCAGGTTGGTGGGGGACAAAAGTCCCTTTAAAATATTGAATGTCAGTTGCAAACCTAAGAAAAGAAAAATCCGATCCGGAGCGCTAAATTTAGGAGCTTTATATGGAACTTGGACTGTGCTGCTGGATTTTGTATGGATTTTTTTCAACCTTTGGTAAGTTTCGATTCACCTTCTGGGGTAAAAAGAAACAAATGGCTTTTAGGGGTGGTTAAGCCTTTGGGCTGTAAATCCTACAATACCGTGTTGGGGTTGGTTTTTTTTTAACCGTTTACGTTGCTTTTTTTAACGAAGCGATGGAGACGTTGCGTTTTCTGGCTGGAAATTCCTAGAGTGCTGCTCTGTGGTTTTATTTTGTCCCCGATTTTAAAATCTGCCGTGGTTTAATATTTATCGCGCGTGCTGCAGGGAGGGGGGGGAGCCCGGCCGTTCACCCCCAGGCTTCCCGTTGCAGGGAGGACAGACCCCGGCGTCCGCCCCTAGACCAAACTGAGCGACCGAAACGGGTTGGGGCGGGGGGCAAAACGTCGCCAGAGGCTGCCGGCAGAGATGGCCGAGAATTGGAAGAACTGCTTCGAAGAGGAGCTCATCTGCCCCATTTGCCTGCACGTCTTCGTGGAGCCCGTCCAGCTGCCCTGCAAGCACAACTTCTGCCGGGGCTGCATCGGGGAGGCGTGGGCCAAGGAGTCGGGCTTGGTGCGGTGCCCGGAGTGCAACCAGGCCTACAACCAGAAGCCCAACCTGGAGAAGAACCTGAAGCTCACCAACATCGTGGAGAAGTTCAACTCCCTCAACCTGGAGAAGCCCCCCTCCGTCTTGCACTGCGTCTTTTGCCGTCGGGGCCCTCCACTGCCGGCCCAGAAGATCTGCTTGAGGTGCGAGGCCCCGTGTTGCCAGTCCCACGTCCAGACCCACCTGCAGCAGCCCTCCACGGCCAGGGGCCATCTCCTGGTGGAGGCGGAAGACGTGCGGGCCTGGAGCTGCCCCCAGCACAACGCCTACCGCCTGTACCACTGCGAGGCCGAGCAGGTGGCCGTCTGCCAGTTCTGCTGCTACTACAGCGGGGCCCACCAGGGACACTCGGTCTGCGACGTGGAGATCCGCCGCAATGAGATCAGGGTAAGTCAGACCTTCACGGAGATGCGGGTTTGTCCAGCCCCGGGGGGTGGGGGGGGGAGTGCCGCTCGCCCTGGCTGCCCCTCTCTCCCTTTGCCGTGTTTGTTCGCCCACGGTCCGTGTTTGTGTAGGGCCGACACAAAACCCACCCCGGCGCTGCTGCTCCTCCGCCCGGTCCCCCTGCGGCGGACATATTAGGTGGCCTCCCCAGCCGAGCAGTGACGGAGCCCACGGTGGGGGGGGGGGGGGCTCCCTGGGGAAGGGGGTCTGTGCCGGGAGGCCCTCGGAGCCATTCAGCCATCGGACCCGCAGCCGCTTGGGGCTGGGGCTGCGTGCGGAAGGGTCAAGGCCCAGGTCCAGAGGGGCTTGGGGGGTGTGGGGGGGTGTCATCTTCCCGCTGGGGTATGCGGCCATTCGGGGGAAGGCGGAGGCGCTGCCCGCATCCGAGGTCGAGTCGCCCTGGAATTGGGCTCCCCCGAAGCGGGGGGGGGGACGGGACACACACAAAGCAGCCGCAGCCACGGACCCCCGTCCATTGTAAGGCCTGTGAATGTCAAAGTGCCGGCTCTTCCCGCTGCCTCCCGCCGGGGCTGGCAGCCGCCATCCCCTTCCCCCCAGCGCGGGGAGAGCTTCATGTCGGAGACCCACGGCTTCTCTTCTCGCTGGCGGGGATTCAGGCTCGGGGTTGGACCAAATAATGGGGTTTTTATTAGGGGGCGCAGGGCTGCCCTCCCCCCAACTCCCCCCAAGCAGCGTGGGGCGTAGCGCTGGATTCGAAGGAAAGCGAGTCTGTATTTTGTTCGTGGCCAGGCCATCTGGCAGGAGCTTTCACCCCTGGCTCCCCACCCTGGAGTTGGTGGCAAGCATTTAACAGCCCTGCGGGCAGCCCTGCCATGACACCACCACCACCTTCCCCCCCCCCTCCTTGGGTTGCCCCTCCGCTCCCCCTCCGACCCTTCGAAAGAGGCCCCAGCGCTTGTCCGCCGAATAAATATTTAACAATGAATTGAATGGTGATTACTGTAAAATGGGGATGATTTCCTGTGTATTTTAATGTTGCCAAAATGAGTCACCATTTAGCAATAAAAAAAAAAAAAAGTCATAAATAAAAATTGCAGTATAATTACTTTCCAATTGGATGGCCAGGCCTGGGAGGGGAGGGCAGCTCTGTGCAGAGAGGAGCCAGCCTGAGCTCACAGGAAGGTTATTTTCCTCTCCTGGTTTTTTGGGGGAAAACCAGAGACCTCCGTGGAGGTGCCAGCAGGTCCGCCACATGCACTGGAAGGGGAAGGACCCAGCCAGGCTTTTGGAGAAGCGCTTTTCTGCTTCTATTTATAGGGAGTCATTTTGGTCGCCCTCTCCCAGGGTGCGGAGCCACCCCGGGAGGGCTGCGCAGGGCTGGGATGGGGCTTGTGTCTGTACTTCCTGGGAGCCTTAGCCAGGGACCAAAACTGTTTTTCCAGGTCCTTTTCCAGGACACTTTGATCTCATCTATTCCTGCTCTTGCTGTGTGGTGGTTTTTTTTTTTTGTGTGGTGTTTTTGTTTTTTTTTTTTTGTTGTTGTTGTTGCTGCCGTTGTTATGGCTGGATGTTCGCTGCTCCTTGCGGATGCACGCTGCTAATGACCTGGCAGAAAGCTGCCACTGGCTAGGCTGGATTTTGGCCCTGGCTTGAAATTTTAGGATATGTGGCCAGACACAGAAGGTGTTGGACAGCTGTATGTTAGAGCCGCAGAATTATTTTGTGACCTTGGCCAAATCCCTCGGTACCTCCATCACCACGTTATCTTAATTTCCTTTCTCTGCGATGATAAGCTGGTCTCTTCCTGCTGGGTGCATGGCTCGTTTGGGTGCTCAGAGGCTGGGGTGATGGAGGACAGCCCGAAGCTGGGCAACAGTGTACCCAAAGGATCCCCCCTTGTAGTTGAAGCAGTTCTTCCATCAAGCAGCTGGAGTAGGGAAGAGCCCCCGGGGAAAAATACCCGGCAGGTTGCCGGCTCTCGCTGCGTGGCCTTGGCCAGGTCTCTGGCTGAAAGCCGCCCCTCGCCAGCCGGCAAGAAGGCGGCTGTGTCAGCTCCTGAATTAGGGTGCGTGCGCTCAGCCGGTGACGGCTTCCCGCCTGCGGGAGCCAGGCCTGGGATTCCTGGCTGCTTGCTCACCCCACGGCGGTGAGCCACTCTCGGAGCATCCCGGGGAAGGAGGGCTGGGGGGCGGATGAGTAACGCTGGGCTTGGGAGGTCTGGAGGAGGCCCCGTCGTGAGAGGTTTGTTCCATGTGTGGCTCGCGTTCAGGAAGCTGTTAATTGAGAAATGAGTCAAAGTTTGGAGGCTCAGAGCCCTGTCCTTGGTGTGGGGGACTTGCGAGTGCGTGGGGGTGGTGACATTGACCCGGTGTGGTGGGGGTGGCCCCAAGAGCCCGGAGGAGCGATGGGAGCCTGCAAACGCCCTCCCCATAAACCCACATTTTTTTAGCATTTATTAATCTGGCTCTGCTGCCAGCCCACCTTGGAGGGCATCTTGCCCCGGTTACAGTCCAATTTGAAGGGGAAAAGGGGCTCAAAACTCCTTGGGGACAGCACCAACACCTCGGCTGGAAAGTGGAACAAGAGAGCTCACGCTGGGCAAAAGAGGCTGGAGGCGGGTGTCGGCAGGAGGAAAGAGGTGTCTGTGGAGGGCTCGCTTGAAGCGGAGGCGTGTGCTTGGGGGGTTTGGGGGAAGGGGACCGCTCAGCGTTAGGTGCTGCACAAACCCGCAGAGCCCTGGCTCTGAATTGGTTGAACTCCACAGTGCAACTGTAATACAAACAGTAAATAAAATATGCGGTTAATCTTTCTTTCGTGGGCGTATAAAGAGCTTACCTCCCCTTCCCCCCTGTGAGATGTTTTCTCCTTTGTTTCCTGTTTTTGTAGCGCTTAAAGAAGAGGGGGTGGGGGGGGGAAGCCAACAACCCACCCTCTTTTTTTTTTGCTTCTTCTCGTTTTGTTTGTGTCAAGGTCTCAAAATGAAACATTTTTTTTCTTCCATCTTTGCCTTTGCTGCCCCAGCCATGTGCCTTCTGCCTTCATGGGGGAACCTGCTGTCTCCCCGGTGTGGGGGAACCTGCTTCCAGGGTTGAAAAAGAAAGTTACTCCATTGTGAGGTTGCTGTGTTGCTTGGGGGTTTTTTTTAAGCCAAAAAGGGGAAAAATACACTGCTGGAATTGGAACATGGGTCAGAAGGCAGCAGCCAAAGGGACTCACTTGTGGGGTATTACCATGTTTGCCACATCTGTGTATGGGACCTGGTTGATTGAAGTCAGGTACATCAGAGCTTGGTTGGGGCTGTCCTGGCTGTCTGTCCTCAGCTGGAGGTGTCACCAGTGGAAAAGCACTTGGGTAGAGGCTCTGCTCCTGCTTCTGTTTTGTTTCAGGGGATGGAGGTAGATTTCCCTCTGACCTAGCTTGCAGTGCATTTCTGGGAAATCAGAATAAAATCCCTCCACAGTCTGAAGATCTCTGGTGGTTTTGAACATTGAGGGAGAAGGAGATTGTGGTGCTGAGACCTGCAGGAAAACATGGGGGGATTCTCCTGCAGGCATGTAGGAGCAGCACCCAGCGCTAGCCGTGGAGCAGCGCCCGTTCAGCAAATCCAGGCAGACAGGTACCGGGCTGCTGAGTCCATCTGCTCCTCGGTGGGTTTGGGCTTTCTTTCTTGGCAGCACCCCAGGTAAGGCCAGCTCAGGTGCTTTGTAAAGTATGGGAAAGAGGAGAGGTGAGCACTTGGTAGGAGAATCCCAAGTCTGTACCAGAAACTCTGGTCCTTTGCCAGCGTTGGCCACCAGCACCAGTGCAGAGATGGCCCGTGTGCTTTTCCTACCTGCCCTAGCTGATTGCGTCTGCGTTTCAAAAGCTCTAGGTCTCTAGAGGGAAAATGCCACCAGCTTTTCTTTGCTAGATGACCCTGACACCAGGGATACCTTCCTGTTTGAAACGAGTACCCTGCCGCATCCCCATGCTGCCATTTGTGCCAGGGACATTTTGCTGGGACCTAAGAAGCCCCACCGGTGGGGAGGCTGGGGTCGGTCCCCCTGCTGGGCTCCTGGCGTGAGACGCTGTAGGCTGTTTTACTCTGAAACAGGTTTGGTAACTTGTGATGGGCTGGATTTTTATAGGCTTACTTATTTTCCAGATGACTTGTTTATGAGGAGCACGGCATGCAGCTCACTGGAGGCATTGTGAGTGTAAATGCCCAAGTGCTCAAGCGTTAATTTAGCTCTTGTGACTGTAGATGGTGTGGGCTGGTGCCTGGCAGGCGTTCCCTATGGCACTCTTTGAACATACATGGTCCCCAGATGACTTTTGCAGTAGGTCCTACGAAGCTGGAGATGTGCAGGTTCTCCTAGCACCCTCCATCTGAGCCCCTTCCAGCACCCCAGAGCTAAACCACCAGCCCAACCCAGGGGTTAGGTCAGCCCAACCCAGGTTTCTCCTTCCCCTGGCTTTGCCCATGCCCTGGTTCTTGCCCAGGGGCCTTGGGAGTCCAGTGCCAGGCTCATAAATGTGACTGATCATTGTGCCCTGGGATGCTGTCAGTTGGTCAAGCTGCCGTGATGAGTGATGACTTCTTGGGCCTTGGGCAGTTGCAGAAATCCCAGCCTTGCTTTCTAGCTCCATGCTGCTCACCACCATTGATCTGTTAGGCTTTACTGCTCTGCGTTGTCAGGGGCAGCCGGGGATTTCAGTTCAACTGATAGCAGCCTGTGCTGCCCTAGAGAGGTCTCAGGGGGCCCTGAGTTACTTTGCTGCAAACCCATCTGGCCAAGTGGCACTGGGTATCTTGGCGGTGCCAGACCTTTGGCTGGATTGGGACAGTCTCCTGCCTCCCAGGCATTTGGATTAAGGGCTTTCCCCCACTGCTTTCCTGGTAAGCTTGAGCATTTTCCTTGCCCTTAGCCCATCAGGTTGCCAGCAGTTGCTTGCTCCGGACCTGCAGCCGCAAGTCTTCTGTGTGGAGTCAATCTGAGAAG